TAAACAACATGATCAGACCATACAAACTAATTTATAACACCACAGTTATTCCTATGTAAATATAATTGACTGAATAGTTTTGGATTTACTGATTAATTTAAGCAATTTATCAAATTGCCAAATAATAAAAATAGCCCATACCTTGTATTATTTGATGCACCATAGTGCTTTCATATACTGATGGCTTTTTTTCTGCTTTCAAACATGTTTCATTTAGTCCTCCAAACAGTACAGCATTTTGCAAGGAAATGGAGATTGGCTGGAATGAATGTTACTTCTATCACAGTTAAGGTCACTTTTAAACCCTACGGTTCTAACCAAATGTAGCTTATGTGGATGCCCGTGACTCTGACAGTCTTTAGGACTAGTCACCAAATATCAAATATCCCAATACTCTTTTTCTGAGCCTGGTGCCCTCTCCCTTCCCCCCTTTCATAGTGTGGCATGACCATCAATAAAACCTTCAGGGAAGCCCTGAGGCCACTTCAGCAAGGGATGCTTTAGGGGCGGAGCCTGATTCACCATAACCTTGCCCCTTCCCATGACTGTCAGCAATGGCAAGGAGGTGGGGCTCTGTCTGCACGGGTTCCCAAGGTGAGATGATGTGAAACAAACGCGTCCAGAATCAAGTAATAAACCAGTAACATGATCTCAAAATAAAACTGCTGATTTTCGCCTCTAACCACTGGGTGCTGTTTGTTACTGCAGCGTGACTGGTACAGGAATAAACCGCTGTTAACAGCCACACCCCAGGCACCATAGGTCCTCAGGCTCTAAAATGCAGCTTACCTTGGAACTTCCTCAGCATCTCCCTCATCCCAGGAATGCAGCACATTGTCTTCAGCCCCACGGGGATGGGCTCTGGTTCCAGCCGTGGGACACTCTTACTTCTAAGGGCACAGAACAGAAAGCTCTTAGGAGGGTTATCTCGACAACCACCTCGGCCTCTCCCAACCCCTTCTCTGATGCAGAAAGTAAACATACCGGCTCAGGGCTCCTCCCACACCCTGAAAGTGAAAGAGAAACACAAGCAGATGTGAGTCAGGCCTCCAAACTACTTTTGACAGATCGGGGACACACCATGAACATCTCTTTAGGAATTATTGGAAATCATTAACTATTAAGATAAAACTACAGGACACATGAACCTCTCTTCATGAAAGCCAAAAACAGGCTGCTGTTGACTTTTCTCGTGAATTGAAAATAATGTAATCTGTTAGCCTCAATTGCAATAAAATCAGACTACACAGAGTTGAGGTTAATTTCTCTATCTACTGATTTAACTATTTACTGAATTAATAATTCTGACATTTGACTTTTTAATGAAGAGTGACACTCTGTAAGTGGACTTAGGGTAAAAATAGATTCCAAATATCTGCAGAAATTTATTTGAGAAACAGTGAAAGGTACAGACGTAAAATGCCACTCTCATTGTCCCTGTAAGAAAACCCTAAATTCCTCATTCTTGGAACCAACATACCATATCTTTGGACTCATATGTGATAAAATAAAGATAAAAGTCATTAATATCTAGCAACATTTTATCTTAAAATAGATTATTAAATAATTCACCTGTATTATGTTTCCTCAATCCCTCTAAAAATAGCCACCTGTCGAATTAATTTTGACGGGGCATAAAAATAAGGAAATTATCATCTTTACCTTCCATGGGAATGATAAGGCTTTGTGTTTGGCCATTAAGGGGAAAATGTAACTTACTGGTACTGAAGATGAAAGGGAAAAGAGCGTATGAAAATGAAAATAAATTATTTGCAAATATATTCTCCCTAAGATTTGTATTATGAAACATTTTAACATTCATTCAGCCCTAATAAATGTTCATTTGAAATCAGCTGTGCTTTGAGATGTGATGAAACAATGAATGTTATTGAAAATGCCAAAGTTCTTGGGCTTATGTACTGTCTGAAATTTAGAAAATGTATTCCTGTCTGTCAGCTCGCTCACTTGGAAGTGGGCATTGCAAAAATAATACTAATAAGGTTTTCTGATATATAGATCTATTGAAGACAAAGAGGGATAAATTACATAAAAATGCTTTGTAAATTCATTCATTTAATACCACCCCCGCCCAACATTGTGACTAGTGCTATTAGTCACAATACTTTTATGAATTACTTAGTACTTGTATGAATTACTTAGTTCAAAAATCCTTAAAGGAGTCATTGGGGATGAGATATAATAAAGTGTGCCCAGAAATTTCTATTGCAGTGAATTCTATCATGATAGCATGCATTCAGTAATAATGATGACTTTCTCAATTCACTTGGGATTTAATGCCTTCAGGGAGGATTAAAAGGAAATATTTCCTTTTCTCT